ATTTCTTCTCTTTTTTATCCCACTGTTCTTTTGTAGATATACTCTTATCTTATATTCTTTTTGTAACATTTTCACTTCTTCTATCAATTTCTTTCTGTATAAATTTTTCTTTTTTTAAATTCCTATTTCCATACTTACACATTTTCCCCTTATAACTATTTTGTATGTCTAGCTGAATAATATGTATTTTCATAATTATTAACTATCAATAATATTCCATTTCTCCAAATTAATTTTAGAATTTAACTTTTATTCTTTTTCTTTCCCATTCTTCTTCTTATATTTCATTTTATATTATGTCTTAATATGTCAAGATGATGATGATCCTTCCTTATTAAAGTCCCCTCCCAGATTTTTGGACAGAATTTATCATTATCCTCTTCATAAAAATCCTCTAATAATGTTAACACCTTTTTATAAATTTAAGTTGTTTTTTATTTGGGGCACAGATGCAAGCAAACATAACTTTTATCTTCTTTATGTTTCCTTTAACAAAAATATATCTCTTTTTTAAATCTTATATACTTGAAAGTTAACTCCATCTTTCATTAATATTGCCAGTCCTCTCACTTTATTTGTTCCCCTTGATTCAAACTGCAAATCCCATTCATCATAAGTAAAATTTTTGCTTTAGTTCTTGATTGATGCATTTCTTGAAGCATAATTATCTGAATTCTCCTTTCCTTTAGCATCTTATTTAACCTGTATCTTTTCACTGGGGTATGAAAGCCATTAACATTTATTGACATAATATTCCCACCATTTTGTCAACGTAGTTATTAAATTAATGGATTTAACTTGTTCAGGAAAATTCCTTATTCTTAAATTTCTCTTTCTTTGTATGTTCACGGCATCTACAAGTCTCTTCAGAAGCACTCCTATTTCACTCCTCAGCATCTCTATCTGTTGTTCATTATTTTCAGCTTACTCTTTTGCTTCTTCAGTTGTCTTTTTATCCCACTTATCTGCTCTGTGATAACTTTAATTGTACTCCCAATGCTTTGAAAGGCATCAAACAGCTTGTCTAATTTATGATCCAGCGCTTCAAGAGATATTTTTGTGGGAGGACTCATTGTATTGCTTCTCGTCCCCATATTGTCCATCAATCACACTGCAACTGGCTTTTTCTCTCCCACTTGCTTTTCCTCTTTTCAGTGAGATCTTGCTGTCCTGGGTCTTACTTTCTAGCATCCAAATTAAATGCTTTGCACTTTTTATCAACTTTAAACTTTAAATGGAGCAATAATAAATCTATTTCATATCTTTTAGAAGGGAGAGGATATGAAGGCATCTCTCTTCTTTCCCTGCACATGCGCATCCCTCCCTATCTTCTTTCTTGACTGTCCAGCTCTCACATCCATACATGGTAATAGGGAATATGATGGCTTGTATGATTCTGACTTTTATGTTGAATTGTATGTCTTGTTTTCTAATGGGGGATATATTCCAATAATAATCATTTTGGAGTCTGGGCTTGTTATCTCTATACCTATTTGGTTGATGAACAATTCTTTCACTTCTATCCCCCCCACACATAGATTACTACATCTTTTTTTTTTCTTTTTTTGGCAGTGGTGGCATATTCTTTTCCTAGCCTTGCACAGTGTAAGAGTCTTGTATCTTTCTTTTTTATGCATGTCTCTTGGAGACAGACTACATCATATTTTTGTTTCTTAATCCATTGAAAAACATTCTTTCATTTTTGTGGACTATTTAGGCCCTTCACATTCCAAGATAAGCATTTGATCTCATTCATCTCCATCTCCATCACTTTGAAGTGAGTCTTCATCTCCTTGAACTTCCACTGGGATGTCTCCTCCTACTGCTCCAAGACAAGTATTCCTCTTTGTCTTCCATCTCCTTTGATTCTGATATACTCTGTGAATGGTCATCCACTTTATCTTCCAAGTTTGCCTTTTCTATTTCCCTCTTTCCTGCTTTCAGTTTATAATCTTACAGGGCTTGTTTTTTATCATTTCTTCTACTCCTGTGAGATTTCTTTTGAAATTGTTCCACAAATGTTTTAGCTTTTTAGACAGAATTTATCATTATTCTTTTTTTATGGTAAATGAATGATAAACCTGTTTCATTCTCCCACTTATATATATATATTATGGTCTCTTAACACTTTGTAAGGAAGTAGAAATCTTTCCATCTCCTTAGAATTTCTCCTGACACATTTTTAAGCAAGAAAACCTCTGAGTCCTCTATTTTCAATCTTGTATGGATTTTTTTCTGTAAGATTTCATCTTTAATCTAGTTCTGATAAAATATACTACCACATCTCTGGGAAGATTCTTCTGCTGGGCTACCCAAGAATTAATCCTATATATTTTATCAATCTCCAGTTTGAATTTTTCTTGGTCAGTTCCTCCAAAATTAGGTATGTGTGGTATAATTGTCTCATATAAGTTTTCCTTCTTTTGTTCCTTAAGTCCTCTTATTTTAAGGCATTTCTTCCAAAGTTTTTGTTCTAGTCTTAATCTTTCTTCCCCTTCTTGTTCTTGTTTAGATGTTAAATTCTTTATTTTGCCTTCAAAGATCTTATTTTATTCTTCTAGTTGCAATATTCTTTCTTTTGCCTGTGACAGTTCAGCTAACATATTTTCTATCACTTGGTGTATTACTTTTATTTCTGCTTTTATATCTTGTTTGATTTCATTTCTTCTTTGTTTCAGTTCTTGTTTCTTTCTAATTTGTCTTGTTTTATTTCCTGCCTGATTTTTTTATCTCCTCAAGAATAAGATTATTGGTGTCTATCATTTTAGCTTGTTCAATTGAGGGTATTTTTGTGTAGCCATTTGTGCTTTAGTTTGTGCCCTTGATGCAACTGACGTAATTGTTTCCTTTTTAGTTTTTATCTATAGTTTCCACTTATATTGTTTCTATCTAGTAATTAATTTGATATTTCATGTGGTTCCTCAATTCATATTATCCTCTGATCATATACTTCTGCTATTAATTAATCAATTAATCCACTGAACAAACAAGGTTCATCAAATGATACTTCATATTTCTATAATCAATCAATTATTCAATCAATTGGTCTATCAATTAATTAATTTTTCCTTCAGGTGAGCTAATTCCTCAGATTCTCTAAGTAGTCCAATCCAATATCTTAATTGATTTGCATACACAACCAAAATATCTCCCACTCAATTAATTTGCTATTCACCTGGAATAAATAGATTACTATATCAAGACTATATACATAATAATTCCCTCACCAGGGTTCTATTATCATTTATATATCTTGTGTTTTTCTCCTTATATAAAAATGTACTTAAATGATTTAGCTTTCAAAATCTCAAAAGAAAAATATTTGATCGATTATCCAATCAAATTAAAGTACATTTAAGATTAACATTTTTAAAGTCCAGTCTCTATCACCTTCTTCTTAATTTCTTTCTTAATTTTCCCCTTTCTTGACTTTTTAAATTATATTCTCCCTTCAGTGATGGATTCAGCCTCCTAATAGTCCAGCATTCTGAAGAGAACAAAACCAACAACAGCAAGGCTCTATAAATGTTTTTTAAATATTTTACTGTGTGTGGAAGTCCTCCAATGTTTTTCTTTTCTTTTCTATAAGTCACTGTCTTTTTGCGCCCTTGTCTCTATTTGTCTCTACTTGTCTACTTGTACATTCTCTACATTTTTCTTCTTCTTCTTCCACTCTCTATCTTCCTTTCATATCTGTTCTCTGATTGTTTATTAATATTAATTCTAACGCTTCCGTACCTTCTATCTCTCTGCTCTCTTGTGCCTTCCTCGGCCACTGCAAGTTGCCAAAAGCACTGCTCCTCTCACATCTCTCTGATCTCTCTAGTCTCCTCCTCTTTCTCTGCATTATTGCTCACAAGTCAGGCCAGGGCAATGGTGTGGCTTTGGTAATTATGTATTAACTGCTTCAGTGCTGCTCAGTGTAGTGGGGAAGCTGCTACAAGTTTATAGTTTGACTTTTCCTGGTCTAAATTTACAAATTAAGTCTTTAAGTTCCCCGAAAGAAAAGGGATTGAAGTTGATAATTGTCCTATTCTGTTTTATTCTTGCCTTACTGGCCAGAGCAGTCCATCTACAGTTAGCCTTGCGTACAACAGAGTTTTTGTTGTTAAAAGGCTTAAAGAAATTAAACAACTCAGGGTTTCCTTTTCCCACAGGCTTTGAAAAAAAAAACCTGGTTGGCAGTCCCTGGGAATGGTTCCTGGTCCCCCCTCGGTTCCTGAATGAATGGAATCTATTTGATTCTCATTCCCTCAGAACCAGACTTGGGTCTTCATGAAACTTCTCTGAAACCCCTATGCCTACCCAGAATAAAACTACTTATTTATCTTAATCTCCCCCCGTTAGACATTCTCTTATATTCACACCTTACCCAGAGAG